GACTGTGGAATGGTGAAAAAAAAATCTTACTCTTTTTCCCCAAATACCTTGTAGTGACAAGTCTGGGAGGTGGACTTGTTTGCAGGCTTGAGTGGAATTTGTGTGAAATCATGAGAGAATTCTCATGGTTAGGTCTCTGCTGGAATACATTCTAGTTTTTGAGTTTTGTAGCTTGTGGTGAAAATACAGTGATTGTCACCACCTACTGTGCAAAATGTGGGGATAGGAAATGGAGAAGGAATAACATGTATTCTATATATGTTACATGCCAGATTCTATATGAAGGATGTGTGTGTGTGTGTGTGTGTGTGTGTGTGTGAATTTATATATTCTTATATTTTCTTTATAATAGTGTAAGATAGGTGGTATGCCCATTTTTAGAGGATGAAATTGAAGCTCATGAAGGTTTAAATGGGGTTCTTTTTTATAAACAAATTGGTTGCAATAAAATTTACATACCAAAGTTTTAAATGGGATTCTTTTTGAAAACAAATTGATTGACATACAATTTACATACCACACAACTCATCCAAGTAGACAGTCTACTTTCTGTCTCTATGGATTTGCCCATTCTGCACAATATATGGCCTTTTGTGACAGTCTCCTTTTTAGCACAATGTTTTTAGTGCTCATCCACGTTGTAGCATGTATCAGTATTTCATTCCTTTTTATGCTGGATAATATTCAGTTGAATATACAGGGTACATTTCATTTGTTCATTCATCAGATAATGGGTTGTTTCCATTTTTTAACTATTGGGAATAATACTGCTTTGAACATGCACATACAAGTTTTTGTGGAGACACAGTGTTTTCATTTCTCTTGGATATATACATAGGAATGCAATTGCTGTGTCATATTCCTCTATGTTTAACATGGAGGAATTGCCAAACTGTTTTTCACAGGGTCTGCACTATTTTACATTCCCATCAGCAATGTGTGAGAGTTCCCATTTCTCTATATCCTTATCGACACTTGTTATTTTCTGTGTTTTTGATTTTAACTATCTTAGTGGGTATGCAGTGTTATTTCATTGTGGTTTTCCCTAATGTAGTTGAGCATCTTTTCATGTGCTTGTTGGCCATTTGTAAATTGTTGGAGAGATGTCTGTTTAGATCCTTTGCTCTTTGTAAAATTGGGTTGTCTTTTAAAATTATGTATTTGTCTTTTTATTATTAAATTATAATTTTTTTTGTATATTATGGATACAAGTTTCTTGTCAGATATGTGCTTTGCAAATATCTTCTTCCATTCTGTGGGTGGTCTTTTCACTTTCTTGTCTTATCCTTTGAAGCCTGTGAGGTTCTTTATCTTAAGCAAAGTGTGGGAGGGCTTAGCACACTTAACATACTTACCAAGGTTAGTCAACAAAATGACTTGTAAAATGGCTTGTGTAATGATTGTCATTCTTTTTGTTTGTTTCTGGTTGGAGAACAAGGTGGATTTACTCTTTGCTTAAACTACTCAGGATTGCAAAGCTTTCATGTGTACTGAAAGCAAAATTTGGAAGTAGACTTTGCTGTACTGAAAATAGTGCTTTCCTCCTGGATTAGAGAACTGCTTAAAAGGAAAAAGAGACTTTACCTAAAAGAGCCCTCTTTTGAGGTCCTGTAATTTTATGATCTAAATAGTGTTTCCTATATTTGTCTGTTGCAGGAATTACCTGGTTTTAGATTTCTAGGGCTGATTAAAGGTTCTGGTTCAGTAGTTCTGAAGTGGCACTTTTCATCAACACCTCACATGATTAGAATCAGGAATGCTTCAGAAACTGATCTAAACAGGTGATAATAATGACCTTTTAGTGGTTGCTAGAACTTAATTAAACCTCTTTAGTGGGTGTGGCCACGAGGTGACAAACATCCCTCACTGAGGGTGATTACAAACAGCAGATCCAGCCAGTCTGGCTACTTTGCTTAGGGAAGCTACTGATCTTGATCCAACACAACCCACAACACAACACATCCAACCTCAAAATTCTCTTCCCCTCCCCTCATATAGTAGAGATGGTTCCACTATAAAAATTTAAACCAGATTCACAAACATTTTCAGGTCATCCTCTTGAGAGTGTTACTCTCTCCTTTTCCTACTCTTTAAGATGTGTTCCTAATTTTCTTACCATTGTTGAGTCCCTGGAGGCCTTTCATAACCACACAGGTTCCCATGTAACTGGATGGTAGGTTATACTTTCCAGGTCCGGGGGTGGAATTATTCTCATTCTAAAAGTCACACAGCTATTGAGTAGTAAAACATCTTTTTTGTACCCTATATTGTTAGTGCCTGTAGTGCATGGGCACTATGGATGCTGAGAGGAAAATTCTCCTACTATGTGTAGTGCAGAGTAGTCACTCAGTAAATAAATGTTTGTTCAATGGGTGAGGTGAAGACTACAGTCTATTTAATAGCTAAGTTTAGGAACCCTTCCAAAAATGTATGGACACAGTAGGTGCTCTGACCTGTAGCCTTGTGTTCCGGTGGAACAGAATTTCCAGAGTCAGCAGATTTCTGAGCTTTACGTTTTTTGCTGTTGGCTTCATTGTGGGGTTTTGTTTTATCTCCTGTTTTAGGGAAGTGGAATTTCCCCCTACTTTGTAGACAGTGTTCATGGTTTGCTTTTATAGCTCCAGGTATGTGACTTTCATTATAGCTTTCTTGCAAATGACAACCTAGACCACAAAAGATAAGAGTAATGTGTCACTGAATTTCCTCACACAGGTCTTTCCCTTATGGCAGAGGCATCTGATAGAAGTAGATAAAGATATGAGCTGTGTTTGTTTGGTGTGATGTAACGGTTTCAGAGACCTGTTTCATTTATTCTTTTAATTGTATCATTTTTTACTCTTGATTCCCTTCTTCCTACCTTTGTGTGGTTTGTATGTCAGTTGATTGTCTATTATGTTGATTGGTTCTGTTTGGGGGGAAAAAACTATTAAATACAGCATAATCTAAAATAAGCTTAGGTAAAGATATATTTATGTTAAGATATTTACATATTTCAATTTAATTTTATTTATATAGAACAGTATTTGTCTATTTCAAAGAACTTGATAGGCTTAGAGCAAAGACAAAATTTAATTTATTTATTATTTTTTATTTTTTTTATGAAATTTATTGTCAAATTTGTTTCAATACAACACCCAGTGCTCATCCCAACAGGTGCCCTCCTCAGTGCCCATCACCCACTTCCCCCTCTCCCCCATCTCCCATCAATACTCAAGTTTGTTCTCAGTATTTAAGAGTCTCTTATGGTTTGCCTTCTTCCCTCTCTGTCTCTGG